CAACTATTCTTCCTAAGCTGTGATAAACAAGTTACATTAATACAGCTCAATCACTGATTTCTTTTTCTACACTTCTTATCAGATTGTAAGCATGTACTTCGTGTATGCATGGCACCACATTTCTCATTAGACGCCAAGGCACGCAAAGCAGCAACACGGAGTATTTATTTTTTTTATCCGTTTTTTGTAGCTATTATTTCAATATATTCTTATTGTTCTGTGTTTTTGATTTATTTTCTGGTAGTTGTGCATGCATGTCACATCACAGATGTGTTCGGTTAGAGGACGCATTTATTTTGTGTTGAACTAGAACAAAAAAAGAGTGTATTTAACCAAAAAAATCAGAATTGAGCATCATGCCCTGTACTATGAATGGAGACTGTCTGACCGCGCCATCTACCTGCTGAGATGAAAACTACATGTAAATATAAATATTCTCCAGCTCGTTCTTGTTTTAGCGGACTGCTATCAATTCCGCAGAGAGCTTTGAAATCCACAGCATTCCTGCGGGGACTAAATGGTTTTGGTAGTTGTATCAATACAATGTTTTTAAATCCATGAATAATCGTTTTGATTGATTGTGATTTCATTTTGAACTCCTTGTAGGATGTGGTGGAGTTGACGGGGACGTTCAAGCAAATGAAAGTGAAGTTAGTGGAGGAGAATTTTGATCCAGGACGAATCCAGGACCCTCTGTACATCCTCGATGACAAGCACAAGAGTTACATACCTCTGACAGCTCAGATCCACAGCTCCATCATAACAGGAAGTACTAAGCTGTAGACCAATTCTCACTCGCACCGCTGGCTTTGCAGTGTGGCTGTAGAGGTCCTTATATTGAACATTCAGCTCAGGGATCCCTGCTTGCCTTTTAACAATCAAGGACCGTATAGAGTCCCGCTTATTAAGAGCAGAAGATGGGAAAAAGAAGTGACCCACTCTGGCAAGTAAAATGATGACACTATCATTTGTACATAACTTACAGCACGTACCAGCAAGTCCTCATGAATAGTCAAAGGTTTACATGAAAAGTAATGTTCAATGGTGTTTGCAGATTCAGTTTTGATAAATCTGCAAATTGTGTTGACCATGACGGTAACTAACAGCACATGGATCAGTGGAGTGTAATCAGATTAATTAGCATGTCTGCACGTCATCATTGTCAAGTGGTGCCTTGAGATACAAGTGACCCGACTTACCCGGACGATATGTGTGTTTCAAGTTACGAGCATGGTCAAGAACAAATTAAGGTTGTATGTCAAGGCACCTCTGTACTTTTGACTAAACAGTTGCAGAGTAAAGAAAAAGATCTGCACGTGGAAAATAATTGTTGGTGTCCCTCTGTTAATGAAAGAAAAACTAATGAAAGAAAAGCCCACATCTGTCAATGAAATAACTTGAAACAGACAAAAGTCAGTGGCAGTTTGCCATATTGTTATTGACAAGCCAAAAAGCTCCTGGGAAAATGTCCTTTTGGACAGCTGAGCCAACACTGGAGCTTTTTGGCAAGACGTAAAAATGAAGCAGGGCCAGAAAAAAAAAACTGTCTGACTGTGAAACTGGGCCTGCTTTGCTACAACTGGCACTGGGTGTTCTAAATATGTGCCGGCTCATTTCTAAAAGCTTGGTCACAACGCAGGACATGGGTCTTCCAATAGGACAATGACCTAATACAAACATTTAAAAAAAAATAAAAACTGCTTAGAGCAAACAATTGGACTGGTCAGAGGTGGTCTTCTATGATCTGAATTCGGTTGAAACAAACCCTTCAAAAACTGCAACTGGGCCAAAACACTCATTGACAATCAAACAAATAGTTTGCTTGCAGTGATTGCCTCAAACGTTTGTGCAAGAAAATATTAGGACAATTGTACCGTTTTTGGCCATGTCTGTTCATTAATTTGACAATAATTCTCTTGAAGCGTAATTCAAAAGCAATGCCTGAGTTTTAAGTTATTTCATTGTCAGAGGGGTGCCAACAATTTTGTATATGTTTATACAGTATATTTATATTCTGAAAAAAACATTAGTTTCTGAATGTATATTTTTATTGTGTATGAAAATGGAACCAAGTAACCAATTAAATACATGGCATGTACTTTTCTTGACCTGGTTCAGTGTGTACTTTTGAAATGCTGAAGGGTAAATCACTACATTTTGACCAATACACAATACATGGCAATTTTCCGCGGATCCGCGGAAATCCGCCGTTTTATTTCTTAAATTGATCATTTTTGTGAATCGTCTAAATCCGTTGAGAAAATTTTAGGGGCGGTCAGGTACCTTATCGTCGAGTTTTCACGAGCTCTCCCGAACAGTCTCTCCGTTTTCCGTTTGTAAACAGCCCTGCGATTGGACGTGTATGAAAGCTTCAACTAATCAGATCACTGAAGGCATTATTTGTTGCGGAAGTCTTAGCTCGATTATAAACGGCCCAGCGATTGGTTAACTACAAGCGATTGGACCAATCAAATTGCATGTAACATATTGTTTTACCTGATTCATGGCGGCCTGTTCGTCTCGCAAATTCATTGTTCTGGGATCGTTTTGAGCGGAATTATGAAATTTTTGACGAAAGATCAGGAGTCTTTAATCCTAGAAATTGACTCAAATGTCAAGAATAAATTCCGATTGGACTGGCTTGACAGAAAAGTCACTGTAAAGGTTAAAATTGGTTCCAAGTTCGACGAAGTTACAGAAGCTCTTGGACAATTTTTGAAGAAACCAGACGTAGCAGGCAAAGCTTATTGTGTGTATTGTAGTGACTTAATTAACTATGGCTCCCGTGGATGCGTGGCACTGACAGATCATGCAACAAAAGTGAAAAAACATGCCGACAAAATCGCCATTCGACGGAGCAATTATTCTTTGGGATCGGCATTTTTCAAACAAACTTCGTCAGCGGATACAACTAAAGACGTTACGCGCTGGGGTACTTACTTTGGCTGAACCAAGCAACGAAATCTGCTCCACTGACGCCCCTCGCCGATAGACAGGTACACTCCGAGGTATATACTTTTTTATTCAAATATACGAGGATGATATTTTCAATTTTATTTGGTATGCATTTGTAGCAACAGCATGATAACATTTATTTGTTTTTATTTGCGTTTTATATTCATATTGATAATTCACGTTTTGTCTTGGATAATAAAGCACGGTTATGCATAATAAATTGTATGCATAATAAATATTCACTATCACTGTATGAGGTAAGAATCAACAGCTTTTTATCACATTTACACAACACTTTATGAATACAAGTCATGAACAAATCTTAAATATGGCAGGGAATGTGTTTACTTTTTTAGTTTTGATTTTGAGCAGCAAATTTGGAGTTACATATTGGTGCTCACCAGGAATGCATAGGCAAAATTGCACAAATTTTCACTTGAAAGAATAGTGGCGATCTTGGGATTTTTTTCTGTTCAATTTTCAAACTGTGTAAATTTAATACACTTCATCTTCAGCATGTTTAGTGCCACTTTTGTAAGTAACCACGCCCCGTCCAGGCCACGCCCCCGTCCAGGCCACGCCTCTTCCGCTTTTTTCATCACTCGCCATTGCCATGTATGTAATACACAGTAAACGGCGTTAACTAGCCTTCCTCGAGCAAGCGTTAGTTCTGACTTATTGCTTGGACTTTGCGATGAGGAAGCGCTTTGAATGAATGAACAAATGTTTATTGGTCACTCCACAAGTTAAAAAAAAAGGACACAACTAAAGGGTGGGGAGGAAGTTTCAGCTTTTTTGTAGTCCCACCCGCCTTATTTTACTGTCTCATTACAGTATCAACACATTAAAACAACTATTTGAAATACAGATAAAAAAACGACAACTCAGATTTAAACAGAATCACTACACTTGATCTTGACATAATTCTTGGCTTTAAGCGAGCAAATGAACATGAGGTTTCAAAACTCATCGATGAATCGGCAACTAATCAATTCTCAGATTAATCTACAACTATTTTAATCGTAGATTAAATTTAATTAGTGACACTAAAGAATCCCAAATAAATGACAAAAATTGGTTCATAATTAGTAATTGGAGTAAAATGGTTTTGTAATACACTTAACCCTGGAGAACCCACGGGGTCAAATTTGGCCCCTATAAATTCTGCTACTCAAATGCTACCCTTAAATCCCAAAGGGTCAAATTTGGCCCTCATCCTAAATTAGGATTGAAGCATTAAATATTTGAAAAAAACATATATTTCGGTGTTCAGTGAACATATAGCAGTCATTTAATGTAAAATTCATCATTTTCCTAAGAAGAAAAGGGTTCTTGGGTTCTCCAGGGTTAAATGCAAAATCAAATCTTATCTGATTTTTGATTACTTGTTGGAATATTTGAATCATTATTGTTACTACTCATATGCTATTTATTAACTGATATTATACTTATCCCTAATGTTCTATAGCTAATATGTGTATCAATGAACATGTTTTGAAATGTCATTTAAGTATAAGCGCATAAGATTGTCTTCAAATGGAAGGATATATAGCCAGTAAATGACAATGTAGTGTTTGATCCATGAATGGAGAAAAACATTTCCTGGTTGAATTGGAATTGTTATTTCAAGTCTTGCCGTTCACATTTTGACATCATGAGACAAAAATGATGCCAAACAATTGATCAACAGAGTGTCATCAGTAGGTTGCAACAGAAAGACTGGAAAATTCACAGAAATGAAATTTGGAAGTCAAAGCATCATGACATTTTAAGCTTCTTGTTGGAGAGCAAAAAAAAAGAAAAGAAAGAAACAATGTACTGTTCAAATGTAGTTAAATTACAAGTATTACATTTGGATTAGGTGAAATTTCTCCTTACTTTTTGTGCGCAGTATGCTTTTACCAAAACGGCCATTGCATGCTTAATTGCTTATAAATCGCATGCAAGACAGGTATGACACCGATCTACAGTCAGCCAGGATAGAAGTAAAGGGAGGTGGAGTGGGGCGTAGTGTGAAAGTTCAATGGGCGTAAACAGCGCAGTTTTTATGATCAAACTGCTCATCTATTGCTGCTCAAATAAACTCCTTCCATTTGATCATCATGCTTGCTTATGTTTTGTACACCGCTTTGGCAGGCTTGGCCATCCTCCCGTTGCTCGTTTACTGGCGAAAGCCGTACTTTTTGCACGATCTGCGGTATGCAATCACTGCCATTCAAATCGCAAGACAGCTCGTCAGATTCTCGACGAAGAAACCCTTCTTCAGCATTCTCGACTGTTTCCTGGATAAGGTGTCCAAACAGCCGAACAAGAAGTTTCTCGTGTTCGAGGAGAGCAGTTACACGTACAGACAAGCCGACCAGGAGAGCAACCGTGTGGCCGCAGCCCTCTCGAGTATACTCAAGCCAGGTGACACGGCGGCAGTGTTTGTGGGCAACGAGCCCCTCTTCGTGTGGCTGTGGCTCGGACTCGCCAAGTTGGGATGTACCTGTGCTCTGCTCAACTACAACATTCGCTCCAAATCTCTGCTGCACTGCTTCTCGTGTTGTGACGCCAAGGTTCTGCTCGCAGCGGCTGGTAAGCAGGAACAATGTGATATGAAACAAACAAATGGCCGAGAGAGAGAGAGAGATTTTCGCAAAATTAATGTATTTTTTCAGAGAGAGAGAGAGAGAGAGAGAGAGAGATTTTCGCAAAATTAAAGTATTTTTTATTTTAATGCAACCATTTTAAGTTTTTTTTTGGTTCAATGGAATATTAGTGTAATTACTGTAACCCTGTTATAAATTAAAGCTGATGTTAACAGTTTTTGCTCAAGAGTGCATGCAAACTGCGTTAGCTACTATGTACTAAGTGGTCAATAGTTATATAATAAAACTAGCAAATATTTGAATGTGTGTTTTTTCTGATCATATGAATAGCAGGGATTTATTGGTTTTGGGTGACACTATATTGTGTCTGAAGAAAAATTATGTGCATAGATTATTTGAAATTTAATGTGAGGGAACAGAAAACAAATTTTTACCGTGTTTTATACACATTCAAGTTATAGTGTATAGTATCTCTCTTTTTCTTTTTTATTTATTTATTTTTTTAACCAAGAGATACCTATTATTGGCCCAACATTCAAGTTAGGATGCAAGTTCAATCCCAGTGCCAAGATTCAAAGGTCACATATACAGTACTTGTATTGTTACATTGGCCTCTTATTTCTTTGTATCGTCTCAGAACTACGAGAGGCCGTAGAGGAGGTGCTTCCGAGCCTGAAGCAGCAGGGGATCCGCGTGTTCATCCTCAGCGAGGGTGATGAATCAGACGGCATCGAATGTCTCTCGGACAAGATTCGCCAGGCCTCTGACGAACCTCTGTCACCGCAGCTGAGGGCCGACATTAATATCAAGAGCCCTGCCCTCTACATTTACACCTCAGGAACCACAGGTCAACTGCTTATTCTGTCCAAGCTTGTCATTTAACCTCTGTGACTGTCCAATTTGTAGAAAATGTGACTTAATTTGCTATCTCATAACGTAGGGCTTCCAAAGGCAGCGGTCATTAACCACGAGAGGTTATGGATGGCAAGTTTTCTTCAGTCAGTTGCTGGCGTACGCTCGGATGATATCATATACATCAACCTGCCTCTCTACCACAGTTCAGGATTTCTTATGGGATTGTGTGGAGCCATAGAAAAAGGTAACCAGTAGAACCGTAAAGGTTTGATCTCAAGCATAACAGGATGATCATTTGTTTTTCACATTTTTTTTTCACATAGGGAACAATGGAATTTCAAATCATTGGTTCTGAGTCTCTTATCATGAACATAAAATGTTCTTTAACTCATGTTATGAATAGCATTTTGATAATGTTAACTGTCATTGATTTCTATGGTTGCTCAGGGATGACACTTACCAGTAAATTTCTATGGGGAGTATTGTCGGCTCAAAGCGATGGTTATTTATTTCTCTCACTTTACATGTGCTTGTACTTGCATAACATCTGGTTATTTTTTTTGTCAAGATTCTGCTAAAATAAAATATTTTACTATGTTTATAGTAAATTTCATATTAAGGGATCGATCACCAATTTAGTAGATTCCTGATTTATTTCAGGTTTTTTTTTTTTATAAATTTTAAAATTTTAAATGGGCACTTATCTGAATCTTTGTGCAGCATGCGGCTGTCTTCTTTGCCGTCATGCACGGGGAGTGTGCGACCTCCAAGTTTTTGTAGTGTATTTTTCCTCCAGCTTTTTGTAGATTTCCAAATTGGACAGCCTTCAGGATGTTAAAACTCTGAGCTTCCACTGTACATCAAAGGTATATTGTTGTGACAAAACACCTGCTACATTCTGACATTGACACTGAGTTTATTCTAGGATAAACCAACAAGTCTATCACCTCAAACAACAAGCAGTTTGCCTCTGTTTGTATTTCAAAGTCCTAACGTTCCTTAGTGTACATCCATACTTGACTTGTCATTATGTTAATTCAACATGCACTTCTTCACCTCTAGGCATCACTGTTGTATTAAAACGTAAATTCTCTGCATCAAACTTCTGGAACGACTGCAGGAAGTACAATATTACGGTTATTCAGTACATAGGCGAGATTATGCGATACCTCTGCAACACACCACAGGTAACACTCCTAAGTAGATGTTATTGGTGAGAATGTTACTTGTCTTAACAGGCCTGTGTTGTTTTCTCCCCTCTAGAGAGACAATGACAGAGATCACAAAGTCAGACTAGCTATGGGAAACGGCATGCGAGCGGATATATGGGCCGATTTTCTGCAGCGGTTTGGGAATATTTGCATCTGCGAGTGCTACGGAGCTACCGAAGGAAATGTTGGCTTTGTCAACTACATTGGGAAAATTGGAGCAATTGGCAAAGAGCATTTCCTCCATAAAGTAAGATGTAAATCACTTGTATTGAATCAAAGTCAGAAATCGTCATCAATACGTGCTTGTTTTTTTTCATCTGGTTTTTTTTTTTTTTTTTTGGTTTGTTTGTTTCCAGATGGGGTGCCCCTATGCACTCATAAGATATGACACAGAGAAAGAGGAACCGGTCAGAGATTCCAGAGGATTTTGCATTGAAGTGCCCAGAGGTCCATGCTTATGAAAATAGAAAGTCCTTCGCACAGGTTCATATTTTTCTAAAAAACATTTCACTTTTAACCGAAGGAGAGACTGGTCTGTTGGTGGCAAAGATTGGCGCGAGAACCCCCTTCTCAGGCTACGCCAAGAACAAGCAGCAGACTGAGAAGAAGAAGCTGAAGGATGTGTTCGTGAAAGGGGACGTCTACTTCAACAGTGGCGATCTTCTCAGAATAGACCATGAAGGTTTTGTCTTCTTTCAAGATCGCATCGGAGACACTTTCAGGTCGGTGAATGAAATAAACTTGGAGTCTCTTATACAATGGTGCCTTGAGATACAACTTTAATTCTTTTAAGCCTCCCCCCCAAATAATGTTTGTTTGTTTTTTGTTTTTTGTAATGTTTTTTTAAATAATGAAAATAGAACTCTCTAATGTTGAAATGAAAAAAAATATTGTAATAACTAGACTTCACACGATCAGGGTTTTTGGGCTGATCGCTGGATCAGCGAGTTTGATTAAAAAATAGAACTGATCACTAATCTGATCAGAAGATGGAGCAATACAACTTTAACAACTTGTATATTTACTCTAAGTCAACCCCCGCTATTCTAGGGGGTACAGGGATCGGCCCGGCTCACAATTAGTGGAAATCCACATATTGAAATGCCTTGGGGAAACAATCGAATAAATTAACCCCCCCCAAAAAAAAAAAAACCCACTAATAACGTTTACAACATCTCCTTCTTTGACATTAATTAATTAATTATTAATGAACCAAAATGAATGAACAATAACAGTTAATCAGCTGGCCAGGGTTTTTGCTCAAACTTCGTCTAACGCTAAATCGTTTTGCTATCTTGATTCAGCCGTAAACAAGTCTATCACTTATCAGCTCAACCAAGTTTCTCGTTCCCCATTCAGTTTGTGCTGCCTGCTCCTTTTTGCTAATATTGGAAGCTGGCTGTGTTGTACAAGTCAAGTCCCGGTACACACAGACTGCAGTGATTATTTTGTCCAATATTGTTAAGCCATTTTTTTTACATGCAGCAGGACGCCACATATCTTGGTCATGTGTGTGGCGTAGAAAGCACATGACCAAAGTTGTTTGGCTCCGGCACAGATTCACTACCATCTACACTAACGGTATTGAGTATACAGTATATGTAATCGCGTCACGAGAATAGCTCAACTCACACGCGGTGTGATCACAATATAGTTCATATCGTCATTTAGCATTCTTTAGCGCGTCCTGTGAAGAGCAGAACAATTTCCGTGTTAGTTCAAACAACACTGTAACTGGCTGAATGTGCATGGCTGAAAGTTCTATGGAACATGCGCCAAGTTATGAAAGCTATTTTGACATGTTTACGGCGACGTTCACCGTTGATGGTCTCAATTAAAGAGATGTTAAAATTAAATACGTAACAATAATAAATAATCATAAAGAAATAACACATACTGCAGCGTTTTTTTTTACGTTAAATAAAAAGTTTTTCGGACTTTTAACCATGTCAATCGTAAAACTATACTGTAGTTATTACTCTGTGATTGCCTTTTCTTTAATGTGTTAGACTGAAGCTGATGGGGATGTTCTTAAGGCTCAAATTTTGTTGGGTTTTGAAGTCAGAGCTGTCATTGTTTTTGTTTTATATTTAGTTTGACAGTAAACAAACTGAGAGTGCCAATCAACAGCTTGAAGCCTCTTTTTTCCCCTCTTTTTTTCTTCCTTTGCAAGTCACAGCAAAAAAGTGTCTGACTGACAGTTTGTATCTGGAAAAGCTTGTAAGTCGGATCTCTTGTATCGCAAGGCACCAATTTGTATCTTTGTTCTCATTAGATTCACCTTAAGTTGGCTTGTTACATTTTGCTCCTGTAGGGCAATCCCGGGAGCAAAATCAACCGTTTCTTACTCCCTGTGCTCCCTACAGCGTTGTTCAGTGTCTGTTTTACAATTAATCACAGATGGAAAGGAGAAAATGTGGCAACCACAGAGGTAGCTGATCATTTGCTCATGGTGGACTGCATCGAAGAGGTTAATGTCTATGGTGTGAAGGTACCAGGTAATATTACATCATCATCATCTTGTAGAGAGGTCGCTAAAACATCTATGTTGGTTTTGCTTATTTTTCTGCTAATATTCTCAATAAGTCTCTGTTTTGTGACATGGCCTCTTTAACCTCAACTCTTGCCTTTTATCAATCATTGATGAATGTAGCCATGAACCATGTCATACTGGGAATCGTGACTAGACAAAGATAACCTCAAATTCAAATGGAAACACATGGATGTATGTTACTTTGGTATGAATATGAGCTTATATCTTCACTATTAGGGCACGAGGGAAGAATCGGAATGGCCGCTGTGACCCTGAAAGAATATATGGAGTTTGATGGGAAAGCTGTGTATCAGCATGTCAAAAGCTACCTTCCGAGCTATGCAAGACCACGCTTTATTCGCATTCAGGTAAATTACATCCTGCCTAAAGACAAGACAATTACACACAGAGGTGGCATGAGTACGCACGCTCTACTTAAATAGAAGTAGTGTAAAAAAGAGTGGTAAAAGTAGAAGTACCCATTCAACTTCTAAATCAGTAAGAAAAAGTATGCATTCTGAAATGTACTTAAATACAGAAGTTTTTTTTTTCACTTGTATGCAATGCCTCTTTTGATAAATTGACAATCATACGATTGTTGGTTGAAGCACTTATAGATGAAAGAGGACAGAATAAAAGTGTCCTTTCACCAGTGCATCAGAGACATCATTTATACTTTGTTACTTCGAATCTTCAAAGACATGGAAAAAAATAAAATACACAAAAAATTGTTTGCAACCACAGTTTCATGATTTATTCTCATGTATATCCCTGCAGAATGCACTGCAGGTGACCGGAACGTTTAAGCAGATGAAAGTGAAGTTGGCTGAGGAGGGCTTCGACCCCAACGTCATCCAGGATCGTTTGCTTTTTCTGGAGGACAATCAAGGCTACGTCCCCATGACTCAGCAAACGTTCAACTCCATAGCAGAGGGAAGAATCAAACTGTGAATCACTTTGGTCTCCACTACTCAAACAGCTGTGAAATACATAGAGTAAGCCACAAAGTGATTAGGAATCTTTGATGTTGCAAAGCATTCAAGAGCAATAATTTCTGGTGTTTTTTTTTTTCCCCCGACGAACGTAATTTTAAAATCAAATGCTTTTTTTAAAAATAAAACTCTCAAACTAAATTGATACCCAGTGTGACATTCCTTGACTTCGGCACCCTCAACTTTTTACACTACTTGGCTATCTAAGTGTCACCATCTTGACCAAGGCAGAGATTTTCTTCCTAAAAATTACATACTGTAAGACACTGTAACATTTTGCACTGGTTGAACATTAACATTGCAGAGACAGTGCAATGATTTAATTAAAATGCATAGCACATAAGTTAAAGACCCTGCAAAATGAATTCAGAGATGTGTTTCCAAATACATTAGACATGTTTGAAGATAATTTCCGGAAACGTGAAAAAGACTGAGAACAATGACGCACTCGATTGTGGAGATGTACCGTAAAACTGTTTTTCACCATTTCAACTTTCCTGATTTTTTGGGGCACTGCTCTAACTGTGCTGCGTGATGCACTTTGGAGTCTGGCATGAGTTGCCCCTCACCCAATATATAAGAACTTGAACATGTTTGTTTGCATCACTGATTAGCAAAAATGTGACATGCAGTGGCTAGCTAGGCCTATAAATCTGACTTGATAGCTAGCGTGTGAACAAGGGCATTACGCTAGTGTGGTAGCTGGAGAGCGCACTGTGTTTTGGTGTGGAAAAGCCGCGCAACGACACAGTAGAATATACTGTATATACCAGCCATTTGCAGTATGAAGCAGTTATATTTTAATGGCTTAAGCATGTAGTCATGTGTAGACGTGCGAAACCTAGTTGATGAAGTAGCATCCATTTTTCCAGGTTGTAGAAATGGTGTTAGATGGTAGAAGAGTTGAGTGGGGTGTGGTTTCCGTGGCAATCAGTGGACACGGTCACAGCACTGGAGAGTGGGCCAATCAAGTTGAATTTTCGCAATTTTGCAGCCTCATTATATATATTTGGTGAATATTTAATCATTCAAATTTGGAAAGGTCATTAACAACACTCTTCTCTGTGTTGTGTCAAATTTACAAGACATAATTCGTTTCCCTTTACAGGGACTTTAACGCTGGACTTAAATTTAGGAAAATTATAGACTATTTAAATAATTCAATTAAAATGTATTACACATAAAAATTATGCCTTATTAAATTTTTGAAAAGAGTTCCCAAAATGTTGAATACAAACATTGTACTTTATAAAGTTAAATACAACTGAATTGACCACAAAAAAATGTATTGGATTAAAACAAAAACAAAAAAAAGCTGAAGCCGTTGTATTACGATACACAGTTTGAACATTTAATTAAGTGAGCCTTTATCACACCACTAGAGGGAGCCTGCGAACCCCACTTTGCGAATTAGTTCCCTAACTCACTAAACCACATTTACAGGAGTTTGGGACCCGGAGTCGTTTCCATGGATGTAGGAGAGACAGCTGTGTGGGTAATGGGTGAAGACGGCATACAGTTAATTCTCCTGCAGGTGGAGATCAAATGTTTTGGCGCCTGAGACACTTTTAGAGAACAGCATAGCTGGTGGTGACCACCCTGCGCCCACTGATTGCGAAAACTTGGAACACTGTTGACCTTTGTCAACTTTTTCATGATTTGCTTTCCGACAATCTTAGAAGGCAACTCCGCCATCTTTGCCGTAGGGCCGCCCCCAGTTGTTGCGAACGTTGGCGAGACCACTTCATCTTGAGGGCTCAGCTTTATTTCAAAGGCGTAGCCAGTTCTTGGACCGAGATAGCTGTATGGCAGAGGCTCACTGTTGCAGCTCAAAGAGCGCATGGGTCTCCTGGACTGATTCCAAGCCTTGTCAATCCAAAGCTCCACTTGGGCCTTGTCCATCCTTGGGGCAGTCTCTTCAGTCTCCTGTGGCCTGACAACGCTGTTGTCTCCATCTCCTTTCACATTGTCTCCGAACGTCTTCGAACTATCAAGAGCCCGTGTGTCAGCGAGGAGATTGGAAGCAATTTTGGAGATAATGCTCCAGTCTCTGCGGATGTCATCGGTTGTGGTGTGCTGTGACGTCACCGTGAATCGAATGATGCGTTTGGTGTGAATGTCTGCAGGAATGAGGTACATGGCACCAGAGCATGTCAGCCTCCTCAGCAGCTCCTGGGTTGAAGCATTACCTTTCTACAAGACAAATGCAAAACAGCAGGGTTGCAAATAATTTAACAAAATAGATTCATTTTGTTCAAGGTTTCAGATCATAATCACGCTGTCCTTCACCTGTTGGTGATAAAAAGAACACATTGACTTACCTTTGAACAAGGTGCGCCCTGGAAGTTGGTACATCTAAATAATCATTAGCCTTTCTAGAACATGTTGCTCCACAGAGAGGGCTTAATTTAGCTATTCATGTTTATAGATTACTGCAAACTGGAACTACCTACCTTGAGACAGAAAACAACCAGGCCGAGGTATCTCTTTGCAGGAACCTCAAAGTTTGGATTACTTCTTATCAGCGACTCCAGGAGCTTTGCCATCTCAATGCCCTGAGAGGGAAAAAAAGTATTACGTTTGCCATTCAAAACAAGTGGAGATACAATGAAATGCTTGATCAAGACTGGTGTGTCTGTAGGATTTTTCATAGACAAGAGCATTTGTGAGTCAGAGTTCACCGAGAAAAAGTCAGTTTTATCTTGTCCATGCTGTTGCTCTTTAATCATGTGGAAAACATTAACTTCAGCATACGTGTCTGATATGTCCCTGGAGATTTTTCAGTCCAAATGAACGCAAGACGAACCAGAGCTTGAGAGAGCGGAAACGACGACTGAGTGGAATCTGCCAGTGCTGCGCAAATAGAAACAGACAAAACTGAGCACCACGAGACCTGAATGTAATTGTTCATAAAGCGGTCATACCATGAAGTCTGTGGCTGCTTGCGAGTTTTCGTGTCTGAGATAAACGGGGTCGACGCTGAACGTCTGTTGGAGTTTGAGTTTGTCCTTGACCCTTGACCCAAACATGCAATAAATTTAGGATTAGGAGACACAATTTACAGACTATTGTGTCTCATAAGATTCTTTGAACAAATAATGAATGCAGTCCGGATGAAATATAGTCACCAAAAAGCCGTGCAGTCGAAATGGACCATCATCCATTTTGATGGGTTGAAGACAAACGAATGTGCAAATTCAATGCCTTCAAGGGACCAGCGTAGCTCTGGACAGAAGTAGGCTGACCCAGCATACGCAGCATCCACATGGAGCCATAGTCCCTCTTCTGCACCTGTTGCAAATCAAACAAACATAAGCAGCACATGTAGTGTTTGATTGTACAAAAGTCATGATCAAAGAATGCCCGAGGGTTACTACGAAGACGTACACACTGGTCCCAATTCCGAGAGAGTGTCAAAGGCGCACACCCCTGTGGTTCCCAAAGTGGCACAGAGCTGAGGAAAATATAGAGTCAATTTGAGCATGAATGTATGATAATGATGCAAGTCAATTAGATAAATCAAAATGAAGTAGCAAATGTCATGTACTACTATCCTCTAGTGTTGACATCACAACTACACATTTTAATCCTGAAAGCCTTAGCAGATGAGGAGGGCAGCAACTCAAAATCTACAGTCTGATATCTGTATTCAGTGTGATCCAACTATTGTACTAGCAAAGCCGTCCTTCATTACCAGAAAAGGGACCAGTCCCCTGCTCCTGTCCTCTTGTATCGCCTGTTTCAACATCTCCCCTCTCAGAGACAGATGCTCATCTGTGGGAAGGAAGCGGATCTTCACGAGAGAAATCTGACCCGCTTTCTCCACTGAGGAGTGCGCCTGTGGACACAGTAAAACATCATTGTCTCAGATTTTTATTGAAACCAGTGGGTTTATTATCCAAGTACTGACCTGATCTGAAGCATAAGCCACCAGTGTTGAATTCAGGACAGAGTCATCCATGTCGTGGTCCAAGTCGGCCCGCAATTGCAGAATTTTGTCTTTCCTAGCTGCCAGAAGAGCCACTAGTGTGCTTTCGCTGACGGTGCTCTAGTCAGTGTCAAAACAACAACCTGTCACTTGGGGACGCCTCACAATGTGAAAAGATGTGTAGTTGTAATCTACCTGGATGATACCTCCTCCCCGGCTCTCACTGTGATAATGGAGGAAGAATTGGGGAAGCCCTAAAGCTTTACAAAGCCAGTCCATCACATTCATTTCCAACTCTGTGCAAGCAGGACTAGAGGCCTATGCAAAAAATAAAAAGCAACACCACAAATTTTATGCACTTTAACCAGACAATTTCTGTCCCATCTTCTGCAATTATGCTCAGAAGGTGAGTCACTCAACATTCACGCAACCCTGAACTACTTTTTAACCATCTAAGGAAGCAGGAAAAAAAAAGTGAGCTTCATGACTTTTGGACAATGACATTATCAAGCTAATTGCTCTGGCCCTGACTACACCTAAATTACGCCCCCTCTTCCATTTTTAATTTCGTGTCTGCGCCTGTACCGTGAATGGACGTTCAGTCACGGGAGAATCTTAAAACGGCGATGTTTCAAATGGACTCATTCTCAGCCACCCTTTCTTCCACTCAGATCCCAACTGCTGCTCGTTTTCTGAGTGAGTTCTCATCGTCTTATCAGCACAAAGGGTTGATGCATTTGTGAGCTGGGAGAGATACATTTTACAGGAACAGGAAATTTACCCTCTTTTTCAATTTGATATCGACGGTCACATCTTGTTTTCTTTTCCCTTTTCATGTCATTATTCATTCCCCATATTTATTTTCCATTTCTGGTCACTTTGTCAAAACCGCGCATTTATTCTTTGTTTTGCAGGTTATATGTTGTATGTGTAATAAACGTGATTCATGGTTTTGTGTGTGATCCCCTGTTTGCCAAGTACCTGTAGTGGCTATTCGTAAGTGCTGAAAGCAGTTTACAACAATTTGTCCCTGTTAATTGTCTCAACTAAACCCTTGAATATATTGAAACTAAATATTGAAACTGACATTGGTACATTCAAGCCATCATTGCGAATGTTTGACTTTCATGCATGATATCGCACATACATTTTCCAAAAACAGCATGACGGATTGATTAGACATTCAAAATTCTCCCACCATGTGGATGTGAGCGCGAATGGTTGTTCTTCTATGTGTGCCCTGCCCTCGCCTACAGCCCAAAGACAGCAGTGATCGGCTCCACAGCATGCCCGCGACACTTGTGAGAATAAGCGGAATAGAAAATGGATGGATGGATGGATAGGTGGGTGGATGGGTGGATAGAATGATGGATCTGTTTTTCTTTAAAGCCGATAACATTGGTGATCTAAATAGACCTCCAATTCTAGAATGACCCTAAAATGAGGGGTCTTTCTTCCCCTTTCTTTTTTTCTTGCCTCACCCATGTGAAGCCAACACAGTTGATGGCATCAGCCAGCATGTCCCCCAGCATTGAGGGCCATGATGTCAGACTGGGGTAGTAGGCGTGCATGTGAGGACTCTGCCAGTGAACCACCTGCATAACATGTCAAAATAATACTGAGTTTATCACATGCATGAATTCCAACTGAATTAGATGACATGATGAGGGCATCAAAACTTACTCCCGGCATGATAACCTTCTCAATGTCACCAAAGATTTTCTCCCAATCTTCGGGCTCTGTGGGTGCCATGTCTGGCAGAAGTTCCCTCATGTAGCCTGGCTTTACATCTGGAATCACCCTTCTCTCCCGGATGGAGCCCAAATATTTTGTGACGTAGTCGACCAACTCCTTACCTAGTTAGGGAAAAGATTTAGCAATTGGATAAACAGTATTGACAAAGTGTGACTTGTCTTTACCTCTGCGGTTGTATTCCTCAGCCTGCATATTTATTTGTGCCGGCGGCTCTTGAGTGGTTTGTTATGATGCTGCAGTGAAGCTGCCTGTGTGGAGTAGTCGAGATCACCTCCCATCTATATAGCCACTATTGGCAGGAGCACGCCCTAAACCAATGACGCATTTGATACAGAACAAATGTTCTTTCATGATGTCAGTCACGGACTCCAATTTTATTCAAAATGTAAACGAAACCTCTCTTGAGTATCTTTATGAAGCAGTGTTGCTGTACTGGTCTACTCATTTTGTTGATCTATATAGTATTTAACAGAACACAATGGATTGTGTAGAGCAGGTGAAAATAACTAATAGTAATAGCCTACAGTTATATTGCAGACCGAACTTTGATTGGTAAAAATCTGTGATCGATCATATTAAAAACAAATTACATGTTAAGCCTCAAAATTTCAACACGCAAAAATATGTTACAGTCCCTCTAATAATGTGCCATAGTCATTCTACTAATTCACTAAATTGTCTTATTGGTGAGGACAAAGAGTGTCCTAGTACATGGATCTTAAGCTGGATGTCAAGGATATCCAATCATGCCTCAGGGTTTCCAGCAGTAGAGTACTAATAGGCAGTTGACTCCTGGAGCTACACAACATCTTGTCAAACCAAATTCAACAACACAAATTATAATGAGTGGTACACGGAAGAGGATTAAAACCACTGAAGCCACTGTAAACTTTACTTAAACTTCAGACGAGCCACAATTGTATTCAAAACAAAGAAATGAGACAAATGCCTATAATAGGTGTAGGGTTTGATTCCGTCTCTGGCCTTCCTGTGTGGCGTTTGCATGTTCTCCCCATGCCTGCGTGGGTTTTCTCTGGGTATTCCGATTTCCTCCCACATTCCAAAAACATGCACGATTACTGATTCTATTGACCTGCATGTGTGCAGCATGTAAGCGTATAAATCTAATCAATACACATATTGCAGATTTTTAATCTCATTGAAGGCTGAATGCATGTCTGTGAATGTCTATTGTGAGTGACACAAAATACATTAAACCTTCGGCTCATAATATGTTGGAGCAGAGCACAATGCAACCATTGTCCTCCACTTGAGCCCTCATGTCTGAAAGCCTGATGAAAGCTTTCATTTACGCAATTGTCCAATCTCGGCTCCATGTGCCCCCTTGTGACTTCAAAGTGAAAATGCTTCTTAGAGCAGTCGTTTTTTTTGTTTTTTGTTTTTTTATTATTATTATGAAAAACCTAGAACTTCTATATTTTTGTTACACTGGCTGTCATACAAAGAAAACATCAGAAAGACTGTTTAACGCTGGAGCCAAGAGAATTTGAATGAAATGTATCCTAATGAGGTATACCTGAAAGGCCATTATGGCGAATCATTGGTTGGTTATCTTCGTTCTGCTAAGCAAGAGCCCCAAGTATTTTGAAAAAGTCTTGGATTTTTAATATGTTTTAATGTAAATAGTAGGGACGATTGTGGACTTCCGGAAGCATCCTTCACCAAAGCTTGCTTTATGCTGTCCAACTGCCCGGTGCCATCCGTAGAGAAAAGAGGTTAAGTTGAGAGAGGCAAAGTCAACTGTGTTTGATGTCAGAACAGACTTGGAGAAGTAAGATATTCCCAATTGAAGCAAACACGTTTTGCTTCTTAAGAGAACCGTGTGCTCGAGAGTCTTCTTTTGGTTTCTTCCAAGTGATGTTATACAATTGGCTCCTATTTACTGACAGCCAGAAAGTGATAATGGGCCCTAAGGAATACTTTAAAAAGACTGTTCTTAGTAATAAAAGTGCGTGGGAAGGGCTTTTATAATGCCTCAACAAAATACTGTCATCTGCACATATACCTGTACACTTACGTTCTTATTTTGAGCCAGAGAGCTTGATCACAGCAGGTGCCTCCCTGCCAACAAGAGTGACAAAGATCCTTACTGAAGCATAAACACAAGTATTTTTTGTAATTATGTATGTATGTATGCATGTATGTATTTATTTGTTTAGAAGATAAGATAAGATAAGAAAACTTTATTTTTCTCACAATGGAGAAATTCCCAATTTGCAGCAGCAAAATTATTTCCAAATAGATCTAGAGATATCATTACAAATTGAGTTCCAAAATGCCATTCATGACACTAATGACACTGTACTCTGTTTCAAGTCTTTTTTCCCCTGCATCTAAAAATATTTTGCGCTGGTTTGGAGGTACAGTACTCAGCTGAAAAAAAAAATCGTAAATTGAGAACTACTAGCAAGCATGCGTTGTCTCTGATTCGGAACAAAATTCGTTACCTCAAGAGTCTGAAATTTCTCGACAGCGAGAGTGTAACAACAGAAACATCCTTAAAATTGTATTTTAGTATGTTCAAGTCTGTTTAAATAAGTTGGAATGTGTGCGAAAGGAACAATATCTCCTTTGGGTGGCAGTGCAGCTTGAAAAGTGGCCCCGCCCACCAATCGTCATTGACGAAGAAGACAAACAAGGACTCAGGAATCAGCTGTCAAAAAAGTAGCCCGTGTGAAGGAAAGCATCGAAAGAGGTACAGTGTTTCCCGAAAAAACAGCAAATAGTCACAATGTTTGCACGTGGTCTCCTCGGAATTAGAAGTTCTAGGGAATCATGCTTCTGTACGGTTACTTGGCAAGTGTCCGTGCCGAGTCGAGTCTTAAGTAGCTGACATTAGCTGCTATCTTCTAACTGCGCGAGCTGACAGTTTATCTGGATAAACAACGTAGCTAAAGCTAGCTGGTTAGCTAACTTTGAAGGGTTGAAAGCAAAGCTCGGTCGTCGTTTCACGCCGCTTGCAGCAAACCTGTTCTTTCTCGCGTCACGCATGAAATAACGGCTTTAACGTGAATTTCGTTTTTACTTCGTATACATAAAGATACCGTCTCGAGCCAGGGTTAGTCCCCATTTATTTGTTGCGTCAAGTCCTACCACAACAAAATCTAGTTAAAACATGTTCTACTGTATATAGAATCTATTAGATATACAGCTCAAGGTCCATGTACTAGTACGATCTGGGTCTTTACTAGGAAGACAATTCAGTGCACTAGCGGAACAAGTTTCTTTCCCCACAACTACTTCCCCGACTGTATGAGATTTCTACAGAGTAGTAGGACGCCGTTGGTATCCTTGTAAGACACTTACACGTTACTAGTGAGGCAAAAGTGTTCACTAGTTGACAACTGGGCGCTACTACTATTACTACTACTAGTACTACTGAAACACGAGATATTGACTAGAATTCTATGTCTCACAAGTAGTACTAGTAGCACACAGAGCTGAACTACTACTGTTTTGCCTCACTAGTAACATGTAGGTGGCCTATTAGTAATCCAGTGTGCACTTACATGTGATAAATACATACTAGTACATGGACCTTATGCTCGTTGGCAGGGCTGTCAAAGCCACAATCATGGATGTAACTGATGTGTTCATGATTGATTGAAAATACGAAAGGTCTTTTAGATTTCTCGTGACGGCACACACCACCGTATTGTAGGTCGCCTTGTCTAATGCATGAGTGTTTTAACAAGTTCAATGTCTAGCATGACAGACAAAACCAATTTTGATTACATGACAGAAAAGTACAAAAAAAATAGGGTTGATCGGGTCAATATTTGAAATAAATGCGATTGAAGTTACTGATTTTAGCTTGCTTCACCTACAACACCAGGTGGTAAAAGTACTCTTACAGTTACTTGTAGAGTACTTTTACACGGCTGGAACAAAATGCTATACAAAAAAAAACAACAACAAATGGTAAAAAAATAATAATAATAATAAAAATAAGGTATTCCTTTACAATTAAAAAAAAATCTAATCTTTACAAAGACGGTTGTAAAAACCTCTGCAGTACCTCCTCTGAAAGACCAAAATGTCACAATCCTTATGTTGGCCTCATGCTGTTCCACCAGCGGACTGTTGGTGGTCTCAACTGGTGTCTCAACCTGTGGTCATATTCCCCGAGGAGGAAGAGAACAGCCATGCTCCCTTCACATTGGCATTCAGGAGATCCAGAATTTTCAATCCCTCTCATTTCACAGTCTCCATGAACAAAACTTAATCAAAGTCTTGTGGACTGCAAAAGTGAAAAGTAATCAGAAATCTAAGCGCAAGTACAAATACCTTGAAAAATCTATTTAAGTAGAGTTAAAACAAGTCTGTACTTCCCCCATTAGTGATATATTATATATTTATTAGCTGTTTTGTTGTTCTCAGGTATGGTTGAAGTGCCCTGATTAACTGTGAGGTCTGAGTGAACACACCCGCCAAGATGCCTGTGGTGTCCACCGGTGCCAAGGACCTCTATTTGTGCACATCGCTCGGTGACCTCAATAAAAAAACTGAAGTTAAGCAAGACAAGATAAGCACAAAAAAGTATGTGTTGATAATTTATGTACAACTGATACGGCTTAACAAATTGACAATATTCAAACACAATGTTACTTTGCTGCAGCTATGTTCAGAGTGCCTGCAAAATCTTCCAGGCGGCAGAGGAGAGTCGTCTGGACAGAGATGAGGAGAGAGCTTATGTGCTTTACATGAAGTATCTAACAGTATATAAAATTGTCAAGGCAAGACCAGACTTCAAGCAGCAGTCGGTATGGTGACCCCCCACCCCTCCCCCACGATGTTTTTTTGACAAATGTGTTTAATATACACACAAAAAGTTAGGGATATTTGGCTTCCAGGTGAAATTTCAGGACGCTCCTAAAATGCATTCCAACATTTACAGGTGAACTTTATGTGGCCTTTCTCTAAGCTTTTGAATGCACATGTCCAGCTGTTAAATGTTTCAGTACTTTTTGCACAAGTTGCTGTTAAAGAGGAGCTTAACTGCAAAATTCACAACAGCTGTTTGATCCTTCACTCTACCAATAAATGTCCTGGTTGGATTAGAGCTGTTGTTTAAACAGTCGTCCTCACCATGCTGTTCACATTTTGACACCGTGAGACCAAGATGACACCTAATAATGGATCAAGAGTACCTGGCCATTGTGACATTTCAAACAAGTCGTTCTCTGACGGAAGTGACCACAGAGCTCGGAGTGTCACAGGCTGTCTTCAGCAGGTTGCAACAGAGGTACCGGGACTGGAAGAGTCACAGAAAGATGTAGAAGTGGATGCCCTTTGGCCACATCCCATCCTGAGGACCGCTACATTGTGAACAATGCCCAGAAAAACCGGATGATGAATACCACTCAACTCCAGGCACGTTTAAGGGATATGAGAGGCACCCAGTTGTCACGTCAGACCATTCAAAACTGTTCACATCAGCGTGGTCTGCATGCCAGAGCATCCGCAAGCGTACCTGAGTACATCACCAGGAACAGGTGTTGCATGGGCCAGGGAGCATTTACGTTTTCCTAGAATTTCACCCAAAAGCCAAATATCCCTATTTTTTTGTGAGCAATGTATGATACGTATTCATTGGCGAAAAGTTGTAAAACAAATTTATAATGACTCCAATGTCTGCAGGAGTACCTGACCATGCTTGGGCCAAACAATGTTAAGAAAGCCATCGAAGAAGCTGAGATACTCGCTGAAAGCCTCAAACTCAGGTCAGAAAGTTTTTGGGAATGTTCAGTGGAAATATATTCTAAAAAAAAAAAAAGATAGTACCTTATTTAAACTGTGAACGTTTTGAAAGGTATGAGGAAGTTGAAGTAAGGAAAAATCTGGAGGAGAAGGACAGACAAGAAGAGAAAAAAAGGGCGCAGGAAATGGAGACGGAGAAAGATGACAGTCAAAGCTCTCCCAAATCCTCAACGGCAAACAAGGACACTAATAAGGTATAGCACTTCTCGACTGTTTTATGCGATAGAAGTTTAAATTTGATTTATAGAACTCTTCTTTCCTAGAGTAATGTCAAAGAATAGTTGTAACAGTTGCAGTCTGATTTTAAATATACATTTGAAGTGCTAACACGATGCCAGTGCTGTCTACAATAATGTGTTTGTGTAGTTGGTAGGGTGTAAAAAAGCACTACTGTACATCACACCGAGTGCTATGTGTCTTAGAGAGTGGTAGGTTCACTACTAATTTTGATTTTAATCTGTTCTGTGACTGCATTGCCACTCTAAATTGTAAATGATTGGCAGGATGCTTTACGAAATCCAATTTCATACAATATACCAATGTTATTGAGTTCATTCTGAGGTTTATGGTTGCATCTCGTAGTGACTGAGTTGTCTCACTTGAAATAGGACATTTACACACTTTTCACATTTATTTCTTTTTGACTCTGTCAGGTAAAAGGAGAGGTGAACGACATGAAGAATACCTCTTCAAGAAGTAAGCCAGGGACAAAAATGCTTCACGAAATTTTAGATACAGTTGACATGGTCTATCCTATGGCATGTGGTCATTCGGGATTGTCTGCATTCTTTATGCTGCGTGTCACTTAAATAACTTGACCTGATTGCAGCTGCGGTGGTGGGTGCAATCACAGCCGAGAAACTTTTCCACATGATGAAAGACCAAATGATTACTACAATTGTCATGGATGCTCGAAGCCAGAGAGACTTTGTTGAGTCTCACATTCAGGTCCCATCACAGGCCTGCATCAGCGTACCCGAAGATGCCATCCATCCAGGGTATGATACAAGAGGAATACATCACCTAATTGTAGTGAAAGCCCTGTCATAAACTAGTGGGGCCGCATAGAATATAATATTGTCAAGAACATTTTTGAGTTGACTTCCCCTTTTACGGGGCATCAATTATTATTTGTAGAATTTCGCATATCCCTAGCAGGAGTTGGTCCCTGCCCCTTGCAAAGTGGGGTTTCCTCTGTATGTCCAGTACAAAAAAATGTGATGGGATTTTTTTTACCCCCCCTTCAAAAACTGCCCTACGTTTTCTCCCCCCACTTTTCAATGTTTTGATGTGAATCGTCAATACTGGACTGTTTTGATTTTTTTAGAATCACTGTGAATGAAATTGAAGAAAATCTCCCTGAGGAGTCGAAAGAGCAGTGGAACAGGAGGGGATCTGTGGACTATTTAGTCCTGTTGGACTGGTTTAATTCCGTGACTGATCTGACCATGGGCATGACATTGCAGAGCCTCAAAGATGCTCTGTACAAGGTAATTATGTTCAAGACTTTGGATGTAAAGGAATATACAATGTGACCTGGGATTCTGGTTAAGGTAAATCATTCTAAGAAAAAAGCCCTTTAAAATAGGTATTAAGCGGATGTTTTGTTGTGCTCATGTGCTGTCCGAGGCAGAGTGTCCGCCGCCTCCATTAATTTCTTAAAGCAACAATTTACATTCCTTGTACTGCCTGCTTGTGGCTCTGTATTTTTGGGGGCACGCTTGGATAAAATTCGGAGTTTCTGAACGGTCTGAGTGAAGCAGTGCGCTGAGAGCGGATTTTCAAATGCATCCATGATGAGGGAACGGCGATTTTAGGGACAACAAACTTATGTTAATGGCCTTGGTTTTTGTAAAACAAATTCCTCCGAAGAAAAATTTTTTTCAAAATATATATTTTTTTTGTCTGGTCCAACTTAGAAGGAAAAACAATTGCAAGAAACCCCGCAAAATAGCAAGGTAAAACTGCAAAAGACGAGGTTATGATCACAAACGAAAACCCATGATAGTGAAGCCGCAATCAACGAACTGCAACTTCGCGACAGAACACTTGTATATACTAATTTACTGTACTCATAAATAATTTGGATACTCCACAGTGGGACGGTATAACCATCTTGCGCAGTGAGCCACTGGTGCTGGAGGGGGGCTATGAGAGCTGGCTGCTATATTACCCAATGTACACAACCAATGCAAAAGTCCGCTCCCCTCGGCAGAACATCAACAGTGGGAACGCCTCCGTGTCTCAGTGTGAGTATCATCACTTACACTACATTATGCGCAAAAAGCTAGCGATTTTGGGGCTTATGGTTGAAATTTCAGGATCAACCTAAAATGACCTATACAGGTGAATTTAATTTGACCTTCTCTAAACATTTTATTGCACATGTCAAACTGTTCACCATTTTAGTTTCGTTTTAGTCACTGACCATAACATTAGGTACCCCTACACTGCCTGTTAAGATTAATTTTTAGAGCTGCATTAAAAAAATGCTGCCTTTACTGAGCTAATAATGTTCAGGTCTTTGTAGTTTCGTATGTTTTGCTGTTGTACCTCAGAAAATTACTAGTGAGTCTAGTTAAAATATTTGTAGTAAATGTGTGTTCATGGAATTTGATTCTAAGGTGTATTTGTATTTTTTCTACAGTAAACCTAAGTTACCCATCCCTCAAGGAAATAAAACCTTCAGCACCACCTCAGCCAGAACCTGAGATTCAACCCGATTCTGTGGAACCCTCTGCTCCCCCACTCATGAATGGAGTGGCTCCACCTGAACCCCGGCCGGCCACGCCACCCATGAGCACAGAGAGAATGACAGACACTGTTGATGCTCTTTTCTCGAAGCTGGAAGTAAGTAAGAAAGGACCAGTGATAGACACGTCCAACCATCCCTCTTCCTCATCCAAGGCCCTCCCACAGGTATGACTCAACTGTAGACTGATCATCTTGAAGTATCAGGAAACTGCAACGGAACTTGATTGTCCTACCTCCTACACTCCTTCTTTCTTTTTACCCTTTGTACTGTCCTGTCTCAGTTTGACCGCACCAAGAAGCCACCCAGCCGCCTCTCAGACGAGCCTAAAGCGAGCCTAAATGGACCAGACCAAGAATCCAGCAAGAACACTCCATATGTCCCCGACCGCTCAGCCAAACCAGCCTTCACCACTACTTTGTCCGAAGAAGAACAAAGTCAGATACACCTGGAGGCAGTGGCGTCGATGGAGAAAGCCAGGCAAGAAAAGGAGAAACGCATTCAAGAGCGTTTGCTAGAAGAGGACAGGCGGAGGAAGGAGCTGAAAGAAAGGCAAGTAAAGGAACAGAGTGATAAGAAAAAGAAGGACGAAGAGGACAAAGGACATCAAGACAAAAAAAGACTAGAGAGACAGAAGGCAGAGGAAGAGGAAGACAAAGAGAACCAGGGCTGCAAGGGAAGAGAACAGATCCCTGAAGCACCCTCAAAGAGTATGTCTCTCGACTCGCCTGCTCCTAATCTTATCATCAGCGAGGTAAAGGTAGGTTGTCCACATCAATGACGCTCAGACCATTGGTTCTGCTGAAAGTGAAAATGGAATGTGAATTTGTTGCCTTGAAATTGGATGTTGAGAGTTGTTGTTTTGTAGAATTCAAATTTAGGGGCAACTAAATGGCGTCGCCCAACCCCATAATCAACTGATTACACTTCATTATATTTGTGCATTTTCACCTCGATAACTTTGGTCACACGCATTACTTTACTGGAAAAAAAATGAGCGCATCTTAAGTCTACAGAACTCATGGTGGCTATTTGGTTTCCGAAATAGCCACCATGTTTTACTAGAATTACTCTCACCTATTTAAAGTTTAGTCAGTATATGTTTGTATTTTACAGAGGGAGCCACTGACAAGAGCTCGAAGTGAGGAAATGGGAAGGAGTGTCCCCGGTCTGCCAGTTGGTTGGATGAAGGTACCTCACATTTGAATACATGGCACTATGACAGACCAAAACCTGAAATATGTATACATGTATCGAATTTATGAATACCTGTTTCATGTCCAAAGGTTTACCCTTTGTAATGTCAACCTTCTCCTAGTTCCTTGATACTGTGACTGGAACCTTCCGATATTACCATTCCCCAACCAACCGCGTCCACCTATACCCACCTGAGGTGACTGTTCCAACGGCACCAGCAGTGGAGCAGAAACGGCCACAACCAGTAGTCCCACCTTCCAACGTAAAGAAAGAGCAGGAGCGGGAACAGTCCAAATTAAAACGCTCCTACTCATCCCCAGACATCAGCCAGGACCTAAGAGAGGAGGCCCAGAAGAAGAGCTCTGCCCCAGTGGCTGCTCCTACAATACCCACCTTCAATAGAGAAACCAAGTAAGGCACTCGGATGTTTACTGATACTCCAGAACAAAAGATAATCCCGGTCATGTGGGTGCATGTTTGATTGGTAGGTTACATGGCAAAAACACAAAATGGAGTGTGTGATATTATCTCTGAAAGCTGTCGATCCAGCTTACCCAATGATAACTTGTGGAAAGCTCTTCAACACCCCTTACAATGTTGAATACAGCATTTTTTTTTTTTGGGGGGGGGGGGGTTGGATTAAAAATCATTTGAATAAATGAAACACCTTCAGGTGAATTATGGGATTATGGAGCAGAAATCATGGCATGAAGCAAATGTTTAATATTCAGCTTCTAATGGAAGGTGTCCCAAAAAGGTTACTCTCTCTATTTCAGTTTAGGTGTCATTCAGACAGAGCAGCGTTGCTAAATTGCTGCTTTGCAACAAGTTTTTCTTTCCTCAACTGCACTTCAAGGACTGTTTGAATTATGGCCATCACACTGTTCCAACATGTGGTATGATTTAGGGTGCCCACAGCAAGTTTTTCGAAACAGGACGTGTGCTTCACTAACCACAAACCACTGATGAAATTCCAAAGCGCATCCTTATGCACAAAGCCTCTTCAAGGGGAAGATTATGATGCTCTATAGCTAAAAATTGATACGAGTATATCTGTATTACACTCATGAACATCAGCTGAATTGAGCATTTGTGAACCCTGAGTTCCGGTGCATCCCTTCAGATAAGTTTCGCTGGCTTTGCACAAATGCTTGCATTAGAAGTTGCGTGTGTTCATCAGCGGTGGCATTAACAAGCCTTAATGTTGCCTGGTTTATTCGGAACAGATCATAATAGTGTAAATTGTTGGAACAGTGTGATAGCCATTACGCTTCTCAAATTAAAGTAGAATGCAGCACAAATGATTTTATATCAACTCCTTAATTGTAACATTTGTTAGGAATTAACTTCTTTTCAACTAAAATTAAACAAAAGATACTTATGTTGCCTGGAAAATAAAATGAAACTAATTAATTAAAAAATTAATTGAAAAATACCATTTACTATCAAAAGCTGGAACTCATGTTAAGTCCCTTGGAAATAGGCATTTAAACTTGAATGAAACACTTGTCTACCCAGGGAAACAATTTGTATCGCTCACATGCATAATATACATTTTATTGACAGCTCTACGAAATGACTGTGAATGTTTACTTGTCATCTTGGCAATTAAATTACTGACTCTTTCCACATACCCCCCTGCAATGTGCTCCCATCTCGCCGGATTGGAAACACAACCCTGAGCTGTCAAATGCTGATGGCCTCATGTCTGTCCGAGAGAAAGCTGAGAACAAAAATTAAGAAAAGGACGTGACTTTTGGGATGCCTTGTAAAATGTTCTGGTTTCCAAGTTTGTGGTAATAAGTTTCCCCCCTCCTTTTTGTTCTTTCAACAGACCTCCCAGTGTTAAAGTGTATTCTAAAGTGGAGCTTGCACGACCTTCAGCAGCCAAAATCCGCAATTTGAATCCAACGTTTGGAGGCCTGGGTGCGAGTTTGACTGGCCTTCGCAATCTGGGCAACACTTGCTACATGAATTCCATCTTGCAGTGTCTGTGCAACACACCTGCCATGGCAGAGTACTTCAACAATAATTACTACCTGGAAGATATCAACAGGTGTGTGGTTCAAGTTCACTCTGTGGAGAAACATTACATCTACAGACACTTCAACAGTTTCTACTCTTCAACATTTTAGAACATCGTCGAAACATATTTGTTCAAATGAAGAGTTTAGATCCAGAGACAACTAAATCCGTTCTCCATTCTTTCGTCTTTGGATTGACAAAAGGAATGCCTCTTCTCTTGTCCTCTGGGCAGGAGCAACATTCTCGGCCATAAAGGGGAAGTGGCGGAGGAATTTGGCGTGATCATGAAGGCGCTGTGGGCCGGGCTGTACAGGTGTATCAGTCCACGAGACTTTAAGATCACCATCGGAAAGATCAATGATCAATTTGCTGGCTATGACCAGCAGGACTCCCAAGAGTTGCTGCTCTTTCTCATGGACGGCCTCCATGAGGACCTCAATAAGGTAATGTGCACACGCGATACCGAGCAAGCACGGGGACTCCAGCTTTCAGCAAAAATACTGTCATGCAGACTGACATTTTTGAAAACATTACATGTATTTTTTTCTTTTTTTTTCACTGGGTTTCATTTTGATGGCAAATTAGAGAGTAAGTAAATTGTATGTGTGTGAGTGGGTGTGTACCTGTCTGATCTGATGCTCATAAGAACGTCTGTGCATGTTGACCCAAGACTTCATTGCTTGCATCAGCTGTTTTGCTTTATTGGTTTCATGTGCATTTAAATGTGGGGGCAACAGATGTACTGTACATACCGTATTGTGGTTCTTAAACTTGATAACAAGTGCGACTCAAAATAATACTTGGCTCTCCATGTACCACTGTCATGGCCAACAATAAAACGCACTAGCATACTTGACACAAGTGTTCATTAGAAATGAGACACGGGTTTTGTATATTCAGTATATTCAATTTTATGATGCACCTTAACATGTGCAAGTTTAAACTTTAACACAACATGAAAATAAAGTAACTCTGCTTGAATAAGGATTTCAATAAATGTATTGAACTTAAAAGTTAAATATAGTCTTCCCTTGCCAAATTACAGCTCATTGTGGTCTCACTGCATAGCGTATTAATTTAAAAAAAAATCATACATAACTAGTTTTACATCACGCATTTATTGTGGGATGTTGTGCTGATCAATTTTCCTCATAGACTAATGCTACTGCAAACTTATGTGACAGTAAGCCTGAACCAGAAGGACCGAGTTGCATAAAAGATAGACTGTTCAAAGTTTGGAAGCTTATCATACTTAGTGTCCAGTGCAGAGTATAACGGACTTGCACAACTGCATGATTACGGTAAACATCTTTTGCTAATTTAACATAGCCGACTGTACAACTAAACTCTGCTTACGGTCGACAGTGATTCTTTTGATTACCACTAGTGGTGTCGCCACACTTTTAGAACCACTGTTTAGAAAACTCTTTGGTGCACCATAGGACATACCATGCCCAATGGTTCCACCTAAAGCAAATGTGCGCACCTCTTGTCTCTTTCAAAGATTGCGTCACATCGATGAATTGCATAATAGGTGATGTGCATTCCTCATGACATGTTTTCCATCTCATCAAATCCTTCTGTATGATGTTCAGACATGTCTGCTATTCAGTGGGGGGCAGTTCCACTCCACAAAGTGTAAGCAACATTTCCACCAAGTGGTACAGTTTTGTTTAGCTCCGATTGGTGTATCCTGATTAGACTTTTGTTTTACTCATCAGCGGAAGTAGGCAGGATTGCAAAAGTTCTGCCACATAGCAGAACAGAGGTAATAAATGCATTAAAAGGCAGCATCATGCTGACATGATTGTAAGCAAACAAAGTTTAGCATGTCCTCTGTTCGAAATGCATGGTATTTTTTTATTATTTTTCCTCATCTCGTTCCATTTATGCATCCCATTGCAGCACTTAAAATATTTTGTTTTCTATCCGGCCAGTCAATTGACCTTACCCAGTAAGGATGCTGTTAAGTGGGACAGTAAGATTTCAGAAGTCAAATATGTTATGACCTTTTCCGATGGAAAATGTGTACTACTGTACTCTATATCAAAAAGAACCAAACTGTACTGCTTGGAAGAAATTGCTTTTTGAACCACATTCAATATGTTCCCTTACATGTTACCATGGCTGCATGAAAATGAATCTGGGACTTTAAATAGAAGTAAAATACAAGTGTGCCTCTCAAGTACGTTTAAGTTTTATCATTGATCCGTATTCAGCTTTTGAATTTTGCATATGTAAATTTGAGTTGGAGCAGTGTGTGGATAATGCAGTGCTTTGCTTCATGTTCGTTGCTGTGTTTACTCATGCCAGTTGTGTTTCCGTCTGTGTTGTCAGGCGGATAACAGAAAACGTTATAAAGAAGAGGAAAACGACCACCTGGATGATCAGATGGCGGCAGATCAGGCCTGGGGCAAACACAAGCTGCTGAATGAGTCCATCATTGTGGCACTCTTCCAGGGCCAGTTCAAGTCCACAGTGCAGTGTCAGACATGCCACCGTAAGTCTCGAACTTTTGAGACCTTCATGTACCTGTCGCTGCCTCTGGCTTCCACCAGCAAGTGCTCACTTCAGGTCAGTAACAACTAACATTTGTTTGAGGCAATGCGACAGTGCGGCCAATATGCTCACAAGTGCTCCCATTTTTTTTCAACGTATGCTGGTAAAAATTGGATCCGGTCGCACAGAACGAGTGCGTGTTTTAATGCTGGTACCGGTACATACAGCGAAGGCAGAACACACGTCAGGTTAAAACCTTCCTGAATAAATTAAATAAATATCCAAGTCTGTATATGTACTTTGCCACGTTGATCTAACGTAACTAGCCCTGTTTGCTCTATAACGGAGGGCTTGCATTAACTTCGGCGCTCATGACCCGCTCCACATTATGGCAGTGGTACATGTGGAATTATATGTTGGGTACTAGGACGATTGTAAAACACAAATATGTATATGGCCCTGTAGGGTCTCCAGTTATCAAGTGATCGCTAGTTTAAAATGAATGAATGTATGTGTTGTGGGCTGATCACTTGGATCAATCGTGTCATAAAACTGACAGATCCTTGTGATTGAATATTTGTAATATCATTGATAACGCACTCAACTTTAGTGATTCAAACAGATAGGATCATCATGGAAACATGCCATTCAACGTTGACACCTCTCATGTTCAGTCTGACATTTCAAACTCAAACAGAAAAAAAGTCCCACCATGCAGGTAACGTTAATTGCTCCAAATGTCTAAATAATGTGGGCTATCAATCTATAAAATCTGACATACATGTAGAACAATGATGGGGGTGAAATCACGTTGCTATTTTACTTAATTACAATCACTGGACCATTGAGTCATTTATGTAGTAATACCTAATCAAATCACTTGGCTTCCATCATTCAGTTTGGTTGGGATGTCAAACGTTAAATATTTAATGAGATGTTATACTCCCCAGAGGCGTAAATAATAAACAGCAAATATTTTGGTGCCCTGATGAGTCCTAAATATACATAAAAATAGCAGTAATGTGTTAAAAAAAAAGTTAAATGTTTTTCGCGTTCATTCATCCATCCATCTATTTTCCAAGACACGTATCCTCACAAGGGTCGCGGGCAAGCTGGAGCTTGTCCCAGTTCTTGAAAGCATTCTAATTAGTATATCTTATAGTATTTAGTTGAAACCATATATTTATTTAAATTATTTATCTGTCAGACCTCATCTCACTGCTTTTGACTGGTACTCACTCACTTTCTGCCACCTCGAAGTAAGCTGGCGCCTACACTCTTTACACACGTCAGGTTAAAACCTTCCTGTATAAATTGACGTGTCTTTAGGAAAGGAATATGTGCTCAAAAGTGGAACATCTGCTCTGCATCTCAGGATTGTCTGAGGCTGTTCTCCAAGGAGGAGAGGCTGACGGATAACAACAAGGTCTTCTGCAGACACTGCAAATCTCACAGAGATTCCACCAAGAAACTGGAGATCTGGAAGGTCCCTCCAATTCTCTTGGTGCACCTGAAGCGGTCCGTCATGACACGTCCATCGGTTTGCTGCGAATTACACGAGATTGACTTACTGTTTCTTTGCATTCCTCCTCATTGGTGCAGCTTCTCCTATGAGGGCAGATGGAAACAGAAGCTCCAGACATCTGTCGACTTCCCTCTAGACGCTCTGGACCTGACCCAGTATGTCATTGGACCTAAGCAGAACCTGAAGAGATATAATCTTTTTGGAGTATCTGTGAGTAGAGCTCAGATGAATAGCTACACACATGTGTCAAGCAATCAATCAATACAATCGTCGAATTGATAATACCAATGGGTGTTGATCTTTTTACCCTAAGTACTATGCCAAAAAATACTTACCTGTCCCAGTACCATAGCTTTTCAAAAATGTTTTATAATATGAAAAAGCAGTACTACTGTTCTACTGTATGAAACTTTATAAAAACATAATTAAATAACAAACTGTTTTTCAGTCAGTGTGCATAGTGCTGAAATAGGATTTGCCCCTTCCTGATTTGTGTTCTTTGCATATTTATCGCATGCAAAGGTTTCAATTCATCAAACCAATTTTAATATCACACAGACTACCCAAGGAAAAAAAAAATGCACCGTCTACATGCCAAATGAAGTGAAATCCCAAACTACCTGTCCCTATGTGAAAAAGTAATTGACTCCCCTTGTTAAATCACAAAGTAACTGTGACTAACGACAGTTTTGGGAAAGCTGAGTTCAATTTCATAGGTAGCACCCGAGCACCACATTTGTTGAATCAAGAAATCACATGAATAGAATCTGTCAGACAAAACGGAGCAGGCTACAAGATCTCAAGAAACAAATGCCACGTCTGCAGAAATTCAAGAAGAAATTTGGTAAAAAAGTTATTTCTGGTCTGGAAAAGGTTACAATGCTTTTTCCAAGACCCGGGGGCTTCACCACAGAGGGTAAACAATATGAGGACCTTGATTTTGGCACCTGTGAGCTAACTAATCATGTAGTATTCCTAACTCTTGGCCTGAATTTATTCGTGTGTGTGTGTATGTGTGTTTACTTTTATTTTCTAGAACCACTATGGAGGTTTGGACGGTGGCCATTACACTGCCTACTGTAAGAATGCCTTCAAACAGCGTTGGTACAAGTTTGACGATCATGAGGTTTCTGATATCTCCACCTCCTCCGTCAAATCTTCTGCCGCCTACATTTTGTTTTACTCCACCCTGTGATGGAGCCGCGGGACCTGAAGAAGAACACTGAAGAAGGTTGTCTTTTTTTCCCTTTTTCTTCTACAACGTGGCAGTTGTGGCCACCTGATGGAGGAGCGCATGTGTCCATCCTAGAGCTCATAGCTGAAGGATGCCACTAGAGAACTGTGCAGCACAGGCACGCCGTGCAGTGCTTCAGCCACTAGAGGACCCTATAGCTGTGAAAACATGCCGGCTGCCCATATTTCTGATCATCTATTCTAGAGACCATGAGAGATGCCAATTTAAGACCACCCTGCGCTGTTTTCATTGTAGGGCAGGCAGCTGCTTTGATACTCCTTACTCATTACTCGAGTGTGTAAACAGCAGGTTCGCACTTACATAGCTTGTACGTATTTAACAAAGCGGATGTTGCACTTGTCCAAATGTAAATATTGAAGATGTTGTGTGACCAATTTTTGTTGGATCTTGCACCGCGGTCGTTGCATTAGGGGTTGTAGTTGTCACTTTCTAATGTTTAACATGACCGGCAAAGGGGACCTCTCATGCTTTTTTCCTCCCCGTCTTCCCTATCATACAGTTACAAGAAAAAGAATGTGAACCCTTTAGAATTATGCTGTTGCAGAATGTCATTTTAGGCTACTGGAAGAGGAAATTACAAGGTCTGTCAAGAAAGTTCCAGGACCGGTGACACACAAGCTACAACACACGTAAAGGTTTTGTACTGCAAAAAAATGAGAACAAAATAGAACCATTAGAGTAGTGTGGCTCATAACCTTTCCACCTTGATTTTTTTTTCAAAAACGGCTTTTTGAGAGGGGAAGTAAAAAGAAACAATTGAAATAATGTGGTTGCACAAGGTGGTCATGATCAAAAGAACACCGTACCGAAGATAAAGTATGGTGGTGGAGTCTGTGTTTTGGAGCTGATTTTCTTCACCTGGAATTGTGACCTTAGATAAGGTGGTGGGAATTTTGAACATTACTAAATAGCAGTCACTGTTAGCACAAAAACTTGGCTTCTGCTAGAAAGCAAAAAAAAAAAAAATGCCAGCTAAGCCTTACTGCATCATCTGAATTTTATTTGGGGTTAATCAGAGACCATTTAAATGTTGGCGAGTATATGCTGACTGGAGGCTGCTCACAATGCCCAAAGCATCTAACAATTCCTTGCCTAGAAAACCACCACACTGGGGTAACCTCCCTAATCTCTTGAACTGGTTTAGTTATTCTTTTTTTCTTTTTCTTTTGGGTCTCCCACGTCCTCTTCCCCAAGCTCGAGGCTGTCATAGAGAGGGCTTCATTGTGAAAATGTGGAACAGAGGGGAAAATGTAGTTTTTGGGCTCAAAATTCTTCTACAGTATTGTGACACCAGTCTTGGAATTTGTCTGACACGCCTAGTGCTTCAAAACTTTTAACATTCTTTTCCAGCAGTACACTAATGGGTTTACACAATGTGGCAGCACAAGATAAATAGCGATCATTTCTCAACTGTGAATCATGCAAATATACTCTCGTGGCCTCCCAGAATAGCTTGGTATGAGCGTAATAGGTCCTCTTTAATGTGATGGAAAAGACTGAGTATTCACACTTTTGTAGTCCTGTATTGAAGGATAGATGGGAACTGTGATGGTTGCCTGTTCATGTTAAGCATATTGTTGCTCTTGCACTGTATGCAATCAAAAGGATGCTTATCCATCCACATAGTTTATCCATGAATACTCAACGTTGAATGCTTTAAATTGGCACAGATTCAGAGATCTGATTGATGCGGCCTTCTCCACCCCAACATTAATAGTGTGAAAGCTATTTGCCATTAAATATTACTGTCTGCATTACAACATCCATTTAGATGACACAGCACTGGTATTATTGGCTGATTTGGTGATGTTTTTTTTTTTTTTTTTTTAATGGTCAAATTTGTAGATTGTGAAATTTAACATGCTCATTTTTCATTAATTCTACCTTTAGTCCAGACCTGATTTGACTCCAAATATGAGAATTTGCATTATTCCTTCGGTCAACACTAGCTCTCCCAATTTGGTGACAAGAGTAGGCACAAAGTATAATAAAATGGACCAGAGATCAGAGATGTGAAGGGTTTTGACTCGATAATCCTGAAAGTTGTGTCAGTTAGCATGAGATTCAAACTTTTATTTTCCTGGATGTGTTGGACTTTACTGTATGTCTCATTGATTTAAATGTTTGAGTATAACCAATGTATTAACCTACAAACGACTCTAGACTATTTATTAAAACGGCTTTGAATTTTTGGATGTGTGCATGGCTGTAGAGCGATGTTGCTTGAGGGATCCAGGAAGATTGAAACAAAACAGTAGTCATCTTTTATTTCATTTTAAGTTACAGGCCAGGAATCTTTGGGTTTCGGAATAGCTTGCGACTGTAAAGCAGGACGTAGGCGTCTGGAGATTGCACGTGATTGTCATGTAGCTCCCGGACCGCTGAGTCATCGAAGCAGTGCCATGTCCGTGTCAGGGTGTTGTGGCACAGAGCAGTGTAGTGACCCATGTTCAGGTGACCTATGTGATTCTAAAGATAGAAAAAAAAATCCTTTAAAGGACTGCGTGTTGACATTGATGTTTGTAGACTATCATGAACAATATTTCACAAAATCATTTCTCACATTTTTCGTAAATATTTTACATGACACTTTCCTACAATGCGAAGTACCGTAGTCTGTGCAACATGCAACTCTGTAAATTTTCTCCTTCAAAATAACTCACACTGCCATCAATGTCCAAACTGCTGGCAACAAGAGTACATCCCTAAGAGAAAATGTCCAAAGTGGGCACAAAGTGTCTTAGTTTTGATTGATGAGCTGATTTTTTTTAACCAAAAATACAAGTAATAATACATTTGAATGATTTGAGATTCAGTGGTTAAATGGTTAACTTTACTGCCATCTAGTGGTAATAGAATGCAACGGCCTAAGCTTGAAGCGCGTGCATGACGGTGCCTCAGAGAAACCACACTTCGCAAGCCTACCACCAGTTCAGCAAAATGTTATCCCAAACGACTTCCAGTATTCCCTCAAGCGATGGACTAAGTGCATTGCATTTGTTACACATGCTGTAGTCATCATGTTGTCAAGTTTGTCTCCCTCAGGTATCCGAAGCAGAAAGATGGCGGCAAAACATGGTTAGCCCCCTGTTGGTGAGGCATGCTCTTTGAAATATAATTGGCGAGTAATTCACCCACAATTATATAAACATTTTTACGTTTTTTTTCATATTATTGAAATTAATGGGGGGGTTGTTTTTTTGTTTTTTTAAATGAACATTAAAAAGATTTCACACACTGTTCCTGCGATCGTGGATTTGGGATAATAATCCAGCCCATAAAAGCAATCTATGACAATATATGACAACGATCTGACGTATCACCCAATAGCAACTCATAGATGCAAGGGAAGCGATCGTGGATTTGGGATAATAATCCAGCCCATAAGCAATCTATGATAATGTATGACAACGATCTGACGTATCACCCAATAGCAACTCATAGATGCAAGGGAAAGCCCAGTCAACGACTTGACTTCGTCAGTTTTACATTATGGCGCCTTGCATTAAAATTAACCAGTGGGATTGCAGGCACGCTACAAGACTAGACACAAAGATGGGAAATCCAGATATTTTTCAAACTTGACAATATTGCTCCCTTTCACCAGTAATACCTCGAAATGGGTGGACCGTGGTACTATTTTAGGTGAATATCAATTAAACGCTCAAACGGCTTTCTGTACAATACATTTGCAAATACAACACCTAAGATGCATTGAAAGAATCAACCAAGCCAATGAAATAAGTTTTACTCACCACGACCGCATAGAGGCGATAGGATGTGCAGGAAGTCTTCTGTGCTGAGTTGGACAGAAACAAACTGAGATCAAGCTCAGTGGTGAAGGTAACATTAGTCCTCAGTTTCACCTGGTTCTTTCCTTTACAACCAAACCTGCATAAAAACATCCAGTTGACAAAAACTGTAATACTGTTACGTATATTATCTATAAAATCAAATGAGACCCAATCGGAGGCGCAAATGGAATTTTTGTGTGTGTGTGTGTGTGTGTGTGTAAAAGCTTACGCTATACAATTTTTACCATTCATTGCAGTTTATTGGTATTGGTCCGATACTGCAAATTAGGCCAATATTGAAATTGGCATCAGGAACAATACCATAAAACAAACCAGAGTCTCCTCGAATCGAGAAACAATATATATATTTTTTTTTATAAATATTGAAACTTGGGCCGGGGGGGATTCACAAGCGCACGGTTCCATTTACTTGAATGAGAGCCATAGCTGAAAGTGAAGGGGATGGATTGTAGTCATCATAAATCTGAGGAGGACTTGTCTCCGGTGCCATCTGCACTCATGGATTCAAACAAGCTTTTTCGTTCTGCATTTCCAAAGATAACGGTATCGAGACCCACTCAATGATTTCTTCGCACTAACTCCAATGATTGTTTGCAATTATGCTTCCTACTGACCGTTTAAGGTGCAGCACGAGGATTTCAGGGGGTTTGTCCAGACAAGTGACGAGAGCCGTTTCTTTCCTCAGTTCACAGGCTGAGCACAGCATCTTCTCTGCCCCCGTCAGCAGAGTCTGCTCAAAGAACAGAGACAAGCAGTCCTGCACAAGATGAACAGATTGAAGAGATGAAAAGTCAAAAGAAATGTCAGGATCTTACTACCCATGCTGCAGTTTCTTTTGTCTGCACTGCACCTCCACTTGTGAGCTAAATCCAAAAAATGTACCTGAATGGAGCACTTGCTGATATGTGTTGGGATTGGTAAGGAGAGCACAGTGAAGGTCTGTGTGTTGTGGGTCTGGTGGTCGCACCGCATGCAGACTGTCACGTAACTGAGCGTGCCTTCAAACAACTTGGAAACAATGGTCGACTCTCCCAGTCCAGTGGCGCACTTTCTATCCTGGTCTTGTATCAGATGCTTGGAGGAATGCGTCTTGCGCCTGCCAACCTGCGAAGGACAAGCCACCGTTGTAATATAATTGTAATTTCTTAGCATACAGTACAGTACACCCTATTGATTTTGCACCGAGACAGTGAGTGAGTCGATTTTGTATTTCTCTGGGGTACATCTTGTGCCAGTGTCAAGGCACCTTCAGATCGCTGTATGACTTCTGTTCTTTTTGTGCACTATGATTTTTCTTTTTGTGCACTATGATTATTCATATGCTGTTTTACTCTTTAATATTTTAGATTCCCCTATGAACCTGTGCAAAGGAGGTGGAAACAAGGACAGTTCTCCATAGTACCTTCTTTAAGTCGTCATGGAGCGCGTTGAAGAGGAGGAGAAGTAGTTCCTGAGCATCCTGCTGAGAGTGGTTGTTGAACTGGGGCAGGATGGAACACAACAAAGACCTGGCCTCCACAGGGGCACAGCTGGAGCTCCTCCCCAGCCACATCTGCTCCAGGAGGCGAACAAACACCTGGGCCACCTGACACTTGGCTCTGAAAAAACAGACTGGTCCAAAACACAACCTGACCACTGTGCTCGACACCTACACTATGGAAAGCCATTTGAGTGTTGAGGTGACATTCTTAGACTACAAATTTCCCCAATGTGGGACAAATAAAGGTTATCTTATCTTATCTTAGCCAGATAAGATGGATGGCCATGAAATGTTCAAACGGTTTCCCATACCTAAGTGGCCGTTATATAATCAGCACATTAATTTCTGCACTCCATTAGTGAAGATTTACAAAGTACAGTAACCCCTCCTTTTTCCACAATTAATGGGGGACACAAACCTCCTGCAAAAGCTGAAAACTGCGAGGTAGGATAGGCTTAAGGTTTCTATTTTATCAAACAATGGTCTGTTTTTACTGAAGAAAAAAACTGACCAAACTGACCGTTTTGTACGGAAGAGGATTAGGGCCAATGAAGAAAAAAAAACAAGGTTGGCAAAATTCTCACTTTACTCTCAGAATTCTGAGAATAAAGTCAGAATTCTCACTTTAAAGTCAGAATTCAGAGCTAAAGTGAGAATTTTGCCAACCTTGTTTTTTTTTCTTCATTGGCCCTAATCATCTTCCGTAGTTTTGGCTGTCACTTCAGTCTTCAGCGTTGCTGTCACTGCTTCCTTGTGACAGTTAAAAAAAAAAAAAGACCTGGGAAACATTGCCTCAATGGCGGCAAAGGGCTGGCGTGCAGTTTAACTAATCAAAAAAAGTTATCGCACACACAGCACTAAGATACTGAGCGAGACAGTCTGCTGGGTGAGGCTGCGATGATGCGCAGCCAATCAGCTCACGGGATATATATACTATGCTTGTGCTCTCATTGGTCGATGTCACGCCGGGAACCAATCACACGCATTGAATGAGTTCCGTGGGACGTACAGTGTAGTTCAGGCATGTACAAAGCCTCTTCGTCGTTCGGCATACAGGGAAACCTCTGTCGCGCATCAACAGAAAACAAACATCTTTCCGCAATATGGCTGTTGATATGGCTGTATTTTTCTTTTTCTTTTTTCTTTTTTTTGATTACTATTATTTATTTTTTAATGAACACAGCGTTTTGGAAAAACCTTGAAGCACCGAAGCCGCAAATCGTGAAGCGCGAAGTGGCGAGGGATTACTGTATATGAATTAGGAACGATTTGTGTATCGTTGAAAGAAAAGATAACTCAAAAGCACGCCAGACTGTAAGGGAGAGAGAACACTGAAAACTGCAGCATCTTAAAAACATCCACTGCTTACAGATGCGGTTTTCTCACCGTGCCAACTCTTTGCGTGTGTCCTGGTGAAGAAGATATTCCACCAGGGGGACCGTGGAACAAACACACTGCAACACGGCGTTGAAGTAGCAGAAGTTTCCAGAGTTGTCCAGACCACACACACCGGGTCGGTCCCACCCCTGGAGTCGCTTTTCCATCCCATGACCACTGCTGGTTGTGTTTTTTCTGCAGGAGCAGGAATAAAAAGCTTTAGAAACACAAATTGGTGAATTTGTAAATAGTGAACCACGAGTAAGCGGGGAATGACGGTACAATGAAATGAAGATGCTGCAAATTCCTGAGAAAAACAAGTCGCACTGTCTGTGTCACCATCACATTTGCGCAGGTTACCACAGAACAGGCACCCGTTCGGCTTTGAACATTGTGGAGAAGTCTTAAAACAGTCTCACTCATTTATATGTATATTTTTATGGTGCGATGTTGGCTGGGGAGTTTGAAACAGTCGCACCAAATTTGCACAGGTTCTCACAGAAACATCGTCGTAGACGAAAACGGGGTAAGACACGAACTGGTTGATGTAGATGGGATGCAGCGCCACCCAGAGACCGGGGAGCAGCACGTCCGCCCGTGACCGGCTCGTGTCGGACGTTGGAAAAAGAAGAGCCGGTCCGGTCCAGCCTTTGAGGTGAGCCGCGAGGAGGGATAGCGAGTAGAACTTAGACGCGGTTTCCGCAGGTGCAGACGGCTCCGTCCGAATCTTGACGCCCGAATGGGAGAAGATGTCGACGAGCTTGCCCTCCATCCTGACACAGATGTCCAACCAGACCAGGTGGCGGTGGCTACAGAGAGGTCTGATCAGCTGCTCGACCACCTGGACGACGACAGGCTTCCTCCTGCGTCTCTGAAGCTGCTCTGGGACGTACAGGTACATGTTGCAGATGAAGCCCGAGCTTATATCGTAGAGGAGGGCGAGGTGAAGCGAGCAAGGTGTCTGCTGGTACCATAGTTTGTATTTCTTCACCGCCAGGTTCTCGCCAGGCGTGTATAATCCTTGATAGCGTTTGGTCACGTGGCCGCAGAAGGCAGACAAGGCTTCCAGCTTTTCTTGGTCCTGCAGTCGGCTCAGATGCAAAAGGCAGCTCTGGAAGCAATTCCTCTTCAGGACCCCTTTCCATCCTTCTAAACCGAGGCTTAACTTACTCTCCCCCACGGAGAGACCGTCCTGCAGAACCGTGGAGAAGCAAGTTAGCATCTCGGTATAATCTTCCTGGGAAAAAAGGGCGCCTCGCTCCCTTTTTTGAGCGTGCGAAGGTCGAGGAGGCCCGCACCTCAGCGCGGAGCCTCTCCTGATCAGCTCTTGCATGGCTCCTCGATCCAGCACCTCCAGAAGGAGCTCTCTGGCCGTGTAGTACACCTGGTAAGCCGGCCCCGTTGGCTGAGTCCTGCTGAAGGGCTTGACTTTCTTGGACCTGAAGATGTTAGGCAGGCACAGGGTTTCTCTGTGCGAGTCTCCGGGCAGATCTCCCACTAGATGGCAATCCTCTGACACCCAGTCGCACTCCTTCACTGATAAAGCTTTCGCCTTCATTGTCTCTTCAGAAAAAGCGTCTCGTGAAAGTGACGCGCTGCGTTTTCCAGGATGGATGCCATGACGGTGTGAGAGGAGCTCGTATGGCCCGGTGTACGGTGCAAGGTAAGCAGATGCAATGCCCAGAAGGCGAGGGGGGTGGTTGCCTTCTCCCGTAAAGATGTCTGCCAAAGTGTGTACTGTACAAATATCTCTTTGCGTGTGTCGGTGTGCTCTCGGGTGATCCATGTCCACTGACGCGCTGGAGAATGTGCTGGGGCAGGAGATCTCCAGGGACCCTCGTGTCCCGGCAACCTGTGAACATAACAATCTGTACGCAGGGTCGCTCCCATGACGCCATTTGTCCTTTTGTGGCTACCTCCTGGGTTTGCGTTCGCTTTTAGAAAGACATCTCAAACTCACACTCCTTTCCATTTTCATCCCCACGGTGAGATTATGATTAGACTTGGGCACTTGTCCCCCTGATCAATGTGATATTTGCAGTACACATCATTCAACATAACAACAAGTTGACGTGTTTACAGCAGTAGGAAGTAACAAATTTGGTTGTACGCGAGCAGATTTTTCCGGAATCTGTACTTTATGTGAGTCCTTTTCTGATGACGTTTTAGTTTCAGACCCTACGTTTAAAAAAATGAGAACAAGATCAATCATTTCCACCATGAAAGTGACCTGTAATATCGTACAACTCAAATGGGGTTACAACTAAACAACTGAGACAAGTGTGCACACCCTCTTATAGCTCGTATGTGGTTGTGCTTAGAATGAACCACATCTACACACACCCGCCACCCTTTAAATTGCTTCTGATTTAACCCCAAATAAAGTTCAGCTGTTCTAGTATGGTTTTCCTCACGCGCTTTTGTTTTATTTTTGTCTTTCTAATAGAAGCTAGACAGTTTCGTTTCTGCTCTTTGCAACGGTTAGTAACTGCCTCTTTTTGGTCATCACCTGTGTTGTGTTTGCACCAAATGTAGCTTTTTGGATTTATGGCCAAAAAGTTCAATCTTGATTTCATCAGGACATATTATATTTTCCCACAAACATTGGTCGATGTCACGCCGGGAACCAATCACACGCATTGAATGAGTTCCGTGGGACGTACAGTGTAGTTCAGGCATGTACAAAGCCTCTTCGTCGTTCGGCATACAGGGAAACCTCTGTCGCGCATCAACAGAAAACAAACATCTTTCCGCAATATGGCTGTTGATATGGCTGTATTTTTCTTTTTCTTTTTTCTTTTTTTTGATTACTATTATTTATTTTTTAATGAACACAGCGTTTTGGAAAAACCTTGAAGCACCGAAGCCGCAAATCGTGAAGCGCGAAGTGGCGAGGGATTACTGTATATGAATTAGGAACGATTTGTGTATCGTTGAAAGAAAAGATAACTCAAAAGCACACCAGACTGTAAGGGATAGAGAACACTGAAAACTGCAGCATCTTAAAAACATCCACTGCTTACAGATGCGGTTTTCTCACCGTGCCAACTCTTTGCGTGTGTCCTGGTGAAGAAGATATTCCACCAGGGGCACCGTGGAACAAACACACTGCAACACGGCGTTGAAGTAGCAGAAGTTTCCAGAGTTGTCCAGACCACACACACCGGGTCGGTCCCACCCCTGGAGTCGCTTTTCCATCCCATGACCACTGCTGGTTGTGTTTTTTCTGCAGGAGCAGGAATAAAAAGCTTTAGAAACACAAATTGGTGAATTTGTAAATAGTGAACCACGAGTAAGCGGGGAATGACGGTACAATGAAATGAAGATGCTGCAAATTCCTGAGAAAAACAAGTCGCACTGTCTGTGTCACCATCACATTTGCGCAGGTTACCACAGAACAGGCACCCGTTCGGCTTTGAACATTGTGGAGAAGTCTTAAAACAGTCTCACTCATTTATATGTATATTTTTATGGTGCGATGTTGGCTGGGGAGTTTGAAACAGTCGCACCAAATTTGCACAGGTTCTCACAGAAACATCGTCGTAGACGAAAACGGGGTAAGAACGATCATACATGCTAAACAGAAGGTATACCTGGACGTAAGTAAAAATTTTTTCGGGACGTCCCTTGCTTATGTCAGCAAGACAATGCCAAGCCCCATTCTACATGTGTTACAACACCGTGGCTTCGTCAAGCCGGATTTATTTATATCCCCCTTAGTCACAAAAGAGTCTCAAAGGGCTTCACAAGCCACCAGCTAATTAACGACATCCCCTGATCTAAAACCCACAGGAGGGCAAGGAAAAACTCATCAACATCCATTTAGGGGAAAAAAAGAAACATGGCTGTTTGTAGACCAACCTTTGCTTCAGGACATTTGTGAGACATTGCATTTCTTGGTACGACGTGCTGTTTAGCTGCCGCAGGACCGGCACTCCGGCAGTGTTGTCCAAACCCAGCTGAGAAGCCAAAGTTCTGGTGAACTGGGTCAACTGGACCTGCCTGCCTGAGCTCTGCAGGGTGTGAAGCACGAACGTGTTGATGTAGATGGTATGCAGCGCCACCCAGAGACCGGGGAGCAGCACGTCCGCCCGTGACCGGCTCGTGTCGGACGTTGGAAAAAGAAGAGCCGGTCCGGT